CTGTGTTCTGGTGTTACATTTGAGTTCACTTTTTCATTTCCCTTTAATTTGTAATGTATGATATACAGAAAATAAAATCCCCCATGAGTGGTTTGGAGAATAGATGGATAAAAATAAAACTTTTTTTCTTATTTTAGACTTAATGGAACAGATCGAGGAGAGTGAAGAACTGAGTGAAGGAGAGGAGAAAAATCCTGTCAAAACTGGAGAAAAGTCATTTAGGAGAGCCAACAGTTCTTGCCCTCAGACCGGAAAGAGATTCCCAAACACAAAAAGTCACACGAGGGTTCATGGTGGAGAGAAGATGCACACGTGTGATCAATGCGGGAAGAGTTTCACACGAAAAGGTAGCATTAAAGAACACATGAAAATCCACACTGGAGAGAAATCGTACTCATGTGATCAGTGCGGGAAGAGTTTCACACGAAAAGACCACCTTAAGAGTCACATGAAAATCCACACTGGAGAGAAACCGTACTCATGTGATCAATGTGGGACCAGTTTTACACATGAAGCAAACCTTAAGAAACACATGACAATCCACACTGGAGAAAAACCGCACACGTGTGATCAGTGCGGGATGAGTTTTGCACAAAAAGGAAACCTTAAGAAACACATGACAATCCACACTGGAGAGAAACCGCACACATGTGATCAGTGCGGGAACAGTTTTGCACGAAAAGAACACCTTACGGTACACAAGAGGATCCACACTGGAGAGAAGCCACACGCGTGTGATCAATGCGGACAGAGTTTTGCACAAAAAGGAGCCCTTAATGTTCACATGAGGATCCACACCGGAGCGAAGCCGTACCCATGTGATCAGTGCGGGAAGAGTTTTACAGATGCGAGCACGCTTAAAATACATCTGCGTTCGCATTCTGGAAAAAGACCATTTTACTGTGACCAGTGCGGGAAAACATTTACATCAGCTTCAGGCCTAAGGGTCCACCTGAACATTCACACAAAAGAAAAGCCTCACATGTGTTCTTTGTGTGGAAAGAGTTTTAGTGTGCGGAGTGGCTTAAAAGAAAACCAGAAAAGACACAGTGGTGTGAAGGATCACATGTGCTTTGATTGTGGGAAGACCTTTTTTACTGCCGGTGACCTGAGAAAGCACCAGACAGTTCACACTGGAGGAAAGCCTTACAAGTGTTCACACTGTGACCAGAGATTTGATTGGCCAGGATATCTGAAAATACACGAGAAGCTCCACACGGGAGAAAAGCCGCACACGTGTGATCAGTGCGGGAAGAGTTTTGCACAAAAATCAAACCTTAAGATTCACATGAAAACACACACTGGAGAGAAGCCGTACTCCTGTGATCAATGTGGGACCAGTTTTACATTCAACGTA